CCTCCCATCTCAGCCTCCCAAAGAGCTGGGATTATGGGCATACACCACCATGCCTGTTTTTTTTTTTTTTTATTTTTTTTTAAAAAAACGTTTTAAAAGTTTTTTGTAGAGACAAGGTATCACTTCATTGTCCATGCTGGTCTTTAACTACTGGGCTCAAGCAATCTTCCCACTTCAGCCTCTTAAAGTACTGCGAACACATGTGTGAGCCTGGCTGGTCATTAAATATGAAAGCATAAGATGTCCCTAAAAACTCAGAGTTCCTCAAGAGTGAAATGCTAGAAGGCAGTAGGAAGATATGGAGGATGTAGCTTTGAAAGTAGTCATAGTTTGTTTAAAAAAGGTTTTTTTTTTTTTTTTTGGTGCCATCATGGCTCACTGCAGTCTCACCCTCCTGGGCTCACGGCTCAAGTGATCCTCCCACCTCAGCCACCAAGTAACTGGGTCTATAGGCACATACCACCACACTGGCTTACTTTTCAAAATTATTTGTAGAGACGGGGTCTTCCTATGTTGTCCAGGCTGGCTTTGAACTCTGGGCCTCAAGCGACTGTCCAGCCTTGGCCTCCCAAAGTGCTAGGATTACACGCATGAACCACCTTGCCCAGCCTCTATTTTTAAAAATTATTATTTGTGTCCTTACTAAATTACACATTCTCTGGGGCTCAAGTTTATAAAGAGCTACAAACAACTCAGGAATTAGTAGGACAGAGTAATAGTCTTAATGCTGAACAGCCTTAACAGAACAAAGGCACAATCCTCTCTCTGCCTTATTCCCTTAATGAGCAAATGGACACCATGCTGGAAGAACCCCTTCCCTAAATTTTATTTGGCATTTATTTAGTAATTTTAAAGTATTCCTTTAGGGGTTCTATTCTATACTAACAGCCAAAGTGTTATAGATTCTGTTGTAAATCAGGTAATCTGTCACTGGGTCAATGAAAAAGACATAATTTTGACCCTTATAAAGAATGCACTCATATCTGGGTGCAGTGGCTCACACCTGTAATCCCAGCACTCTGGGAGGCTGAGGTGGGCAGACTGCTTGAGTCCAGGAGCTCAACACCAGTTTGGACAACATAGGGATATCCTGTCTCTAAGAAAAAATTTTTAATTTGCCAGGTGTGATGGCGTACACCTGTAGTCCTAGCTGCTTGGGAGGCTAAGCCATGAGGATCGCTTGAACCCAGGAGGCAGAGGTTGCAGTGATCTGAGATTGCACCAGCACACTCAAGCCTGGGCGACAGAGCAAGACCCTGTTTCAGATGACAAAAAAAAAAAAAAGGCACTCACTGGGTACTCTGTCAGAAGTAAAGCAGTGTCTTATCTAAAGACTGAGGATTGGAAAGCTGGTATAATAGGAATACAGGAAATAGAACCGAGAACTGTAATGGGTCATAAATAATCGCCCAAATGCCCATAGGATCCCTGGAGAACACAAGATTTGGATCATATTAAAACAGAGTTACTCTATCAAATGCAATGCATGGTCTTTGATTAGATCCTGGTTTGAACAAATCATCCATAAAACTATTTTGGGGACAAGTGGCAAATTTGAATATGGACTAGATTTTAGATATTAAGAATTATAGTAGCCACTGTGCTCCATCCTGGGTGATGGAGTGAGACCCCACCCTGTCTCAAAAAAAAAAAAAAAGAATTATAGTTAAGTTTGAGATGCAATAGGCCGGGCGTGGTGGCCCACGCCTGTAATACCAGCACTTTGGGAGGCCAAGGCGGGAGGATCACAAGGTCAGGAGATCAAGACCATCCTGGCTGACAGTGAAACCTCTACTAAAAATACAAAAAAATTAGCTGGGCGTGATAGTGGGCGCCTGTAGTCCCAGCTACTTGGGAGGCTGAGGCAGGAGAATGGCATGAATCTGGGAGGTGGAGCTTGCAGTGAGCCCAGATTGCGCCACTGCACTCCAGCCTGGGTGACAGAGCAAGACCCCATCTCAAAAATAAAAATTAAAATTAAAAAAAACCCCAACACTTTACAAGATCTAATCCCTGTCTATCTATTTAGCCTTTCTTCATTCCTTTTATTTGCTATGCTTCAGGCACACTGACTTTCTTTTAATTCCTCAGGAGTCAAGCTCTTTCCTTCCTCAGGGCCTTTGCATACATGCTCTATCTGCTTAGTTACTCTTTTTTGGCCAACTTATTAAACTAGAAGATTCACTTTTTAGGTATCATTTTATTTTTATTTAATGAATTAATTTATTGAGACAGAGTTTTGCTCTTGTCACCTAGGCTGGAGTGCAACAGCATGTTCTCAGTTCACCGCAACCTCTGCCTCCCAGGTTCAAGCGATTTTCCTGCTTCAACCTCCCAGGTAGCTGGGATTACAGGCGCCCACTACCATGCTCAGCTAATTTTTGTATTTTTAGTAGAGATGGGGTTTCACCATGTTGGCTAGGCTGGTCTCGAACTCCTGACCTCAGGTGATCCACCCGCCTCAGTCTCCTAAACTGCTGGGATTATAGGCATGAGCCACCATGCCCAGCCTCAGGCATCATTTTAAATGTGACCTTCTCAAATATATCTTTCCTGACACTCCCTAAGTTATAAGTCCTGATAAAAGCAACTAAATTATAAATCCTGATAAAAACACTCATAGCTTGTGATACGTATCCTTAACAAAATGTATCTCAGTAGAAATAAATTAACAATTATTTGTGTAATTATTTAATATCTGCCCCTTGTCAAACTAGGAGGTCCTTAATAGGCAGATACTATAGCCGCCTTGCTCGTGGCTGTATTCCGACTACTAGTGAGCACCCAGACATGATACATGCTCAATAAATATTTGTTAAATAAATGAATAAATCCTAGACTTGAAAGGTCAGGTTAAGTAAGAAATAAAATGATTTAGCAGTATTCACCATGTAGCAATAAATCTGATCCTTATATCCTTTGGCCTCAGAATTCTGAGGAGTATGGATGACTCTGGGCCCATATCTGACATAGATATAGCTAAAATGTTGAAGTTATACAAATGAGCTGTTGCTATAACCAAGATAGGGAGAGCCAGGGCTTTAAGGGTATTCTTACACAGGCAAACAAATCATTATTTTATACTACTCTGTGTAATTCACTGACTAAAGTGTTGAAGAAAATATGAAGATGTAATTCATGACCTTAATAAGATACTTTCGTTTAGAAAAAAAAATGACACATTTACATGGAAAGAAAACTGGTAACTAGGTATTAACCAATGAGGGCTAAAAAAAGATGATGTAGCCAATAACAGCTAGATGATGGTTAGACAATTGTACTCTGCCTTAGCTGCACATTAAAATCACCTGAAAAGCACTCAAAATTAATCATGCGCAGATCCCACCTCCATTTAATGGAGTTGGTGGTAGGTTCTGAGGACTGGCATTTTAAAAAAAGCTTCCCATACAGTTTTAGCATACAATTTGGGTTGAGAACCAGTGGTTTGAGGAAAGTAGAAGTAGCTTTACTAAAGAGTTAGTATTTGAAATGTTTCTTAAAGGATGGGTAAAATTTGGACAGGCAAAAAGGAATGAGAAGAGCTTTCCAAACAGGGCTTAAGGAGTGAGATATGGCAGGAAAGTGCAGAAATTAGAAGGTATAATGTACGTATGGAATGGAGGGTTATCAGTGAATAGACACCATTTTGGCTGAAGTAAAGTATTGGTGAATAGAACATATCTTGTATTTTTATCCCCATGCATGAAGTGCTACTGAACATTTTCGGTATATTATTGACGGCATCAGTACGGTATTCTACTGTACTATTGAAGGAATCTATACCTTCAATAGGTATAAGGTGACAAACTTCTGAACTAAGTGAAAGCTCTAACAACAAAAAGAATGGCTATAAGAGATAAAAAGAGTAAACCAGTAAATGACAGAGCCATAAATGGCACTATAGGAAGAATTTAAAGCTACACATTATTAAAGAATTTAATGTTTGGTCACACCAAATTCATTAAACTTTAATAATAGCAAACCGTCATAAAGGCAAATCATCTAAATAAATAAAAAAGTTTATTCCAAATTCCTTTAGCACTGAAATATAAACTTCCATCATTAGATGTCATCCTAGTTCTGGCCGGGCGTGGTGGCTCACGCCTGTAATCCCAGCACTTTGGGAGGCCGAGGCGAGTTATCACCTGAGGTCGGGAGTTCAAGATCAACCTGACCAAAATGGAGAAACCCCGTCTCTACTAAAAACACAAAATTAGCCAGGCATGGTGGCGCATACCTGTAATCCCAGCTACTCAGGAGGCTGAGGCAGGAGAATTGCTTGAACCCAAGGTGGAGGTTGTAGTGAGCCAAAATCACGTCATTGTACTCCAGCCTGGGCAACAAGAGTGAAACTCCATCTCAAAAAAGAAAAAAAAGAAAAAAAAAAAAAAGTCTGGGCATGGTGGCTTACGCCTGTAATCCCAGCACTTTGGGAGGCCAAGGCGGGCGGGTCACCTGAAGTCGGGAGTTCGAGACTAGCCTGACCAACATGGAGAAACCCTGTCTCTACTAAAAATACACAAAAATTAGCGGGGTGTGGTGGTGCATATGCCTGTGATCCCAGCTACTCGGGAAGCTGAGGTAGGAGAATTGCTTGAATCCAAGAGGCAAAGGTTGCGGTGAGCCGAGGTTGCGCCATCACACTCCAGCCTGGGCGACAAGAGCAAAATTCCATCTCAAAAAAAAAAAAGAAGTCATCCTAGTTCTATCTCTAGGGTTTATCTTTTTTTGATTCTTAGAAAGAAAATAATAAAATACTTATTGCAAAGATCTGTGAAAAAGAAGTGGAGAATTAGAAAACAAAAAGTGATTTGAGGTGACACTTCAATTGTTAATCCATCCCATCCTTATAAAGTACTGTATTTAATAATTACCTTCATAATTTGATGGTTACAAAATATTATGCTAAAATCTTTTATTTATAAGCAGATCAAAAGACATCTCTAAATCAAGCTCTTTTGATTTAGAATCACAATTAAATAGCTATTTCTATATCATACCTTGTATTTGGTCATGGTGCTAAAATGATTATTCCGAAAGAACACACAAAGTTCTCCTTCCTGAACCGTTGAAGTTAGTTCACATAATCCATGGTATGTCAGTTGAGTGGCTGTGTTATTTAGAAACTGCTCAGCTACAAAGCCTATAGAACCAATGCATAATATTAGATAGAATAATTTCAAAATTAAAAAGTTATTCTTTTTCTATTTAAAGTGTGTTCCAAGCATGGAAAAAGGCCAATCATTATAATACTTTCCCTATTACTTTATGATGACTCCAAATTGGACATCTGTGATTTTAATTTTGCTATGAAATATGTGTATACAGAAATTCCTAACCTAAAGAAATAGTTACGTGAAATTCTTTTTTATAAGCAAATGAATTTACTTATACCTCACCTACTATTACAAAGGATTTCATGCAGGTTGCAGTAAAAAAGCAGACACAATAAAACTAAAACTCATCAAAGCAAATAAAAAGACAGGTGTCAGGCAATTTAAAAAATGGGTAGGAAAGAAAAATGTCAGTCAACAGCTACCTTCCCAGTAGCAAGGTGTTTTCACATTAAAAGATTTTACAAAAATCGTAGATAATTCTTAAACTTCTCAATTCTCAATTGTAAACTTCTCAATTCTTGCTTTAAAACTACAAGTAGGCATAAGGCTGAAGAGAAAGCCGTGGGATAAATGATGCCATTTGTAATGGTTTTTAATGCCATTTTTATTCTAATCTCCTCCAACATATGCCACTCATGTAGCTCTATCAAGTTTGGAAACAGATCTTATGGCTTTTGTTTTTGAAATACAATAAAATATGCAGAAGTGATCTGGGGTATAGTTTAAAACATATACACACACACACACACACACACACACAGCTGATCTTCATAAACACAATTGATCCTCATTGCAAGTTCATATCTGCAAGTTCATCTGCTGGCTAAAATTTATTTAGAACCCTCAAATCAACACTTGCAGCATTTTTATGCTTGTTTGTGGACATGTGAAGACCGGTGAAAATTCTGAGTGGCCCAATGTGCACATTCCCAGCTGAGGTCAAACAAGGCAACATTCTGCCTTCTTGCTTCAGCTCTCTCACATACTGTAAACAAGTGTCCCTTTCATGGTCTATTTAGTGCCAAGTTTTTCACATTTTTATGCCTTCTGTTGGTGATTTTGCTGTTTCAAACAGCATCCAAGCATAATGCCAAAGTGCTGGCTAGTATTCAGTAGACAAAGGCTGTGATGTGCCTTACAGAAAAAATACATGTGCTAGGTAAGTTTCGTTCAGGCTTGAGAGGTTCGTTATACAGGTTGAGAGGCTGAGTATCACTTATCTGAAATGCATGAGACTAGAAGTGTTTTGGGTTTGGATTCTTTTGGATTTTGCAACCTTTGCGTTATACTTATCAGCTGAGCATCCCTAATCTGAAAATGAGAAATCTCAAATGCTCCAATGAGCATTTCCTCTGAGCGTCATGTTGGTGTTTAGATTTTGGAGCATTTTGGATTTTGGATTTTCAGATTAGGCATATTCTATCTGTAGTGCTGTTGGCTGTGAGTTTAACGCTAGTGAATCAACAATATATATTAAATACGGTGTGTTTAACAGAAACACACATAAAACAAGTTTATGTATTGATCAGTTGATGAAAATGTTGTTACCAAAGGCTCCTTGGTAACTAACTCATATTTATCCTAGGGACAGTAGTTCAGCATTCACTAATTCAGTGTTCACAGCAACTTTATAGAACATAGCTACCATAAATAATGAGAATCAACTGTATACATATTTTTTTAAACTTGTATTTCTCTTCTTCCTTGCGTCCTTCCTTTTGGAGTAAGGAGACATGTCTCAGAAGCAATGGGAGAGGAGGGAAGGAAATGCCCTAAAAAGTTTCATAAGTGATCTGAGAGATATAGATATAAGGACTAAAGATAAATCTGTGGTATGAAAGTAACACTTCAACAATAAATTTAAAATAAAACTTGGTAGGGCCAGAAGCAGATAACATAGGTTTATTCCACTCCCTAGACATCCCTTAGTGTCAAACCATAGTACTTCAAGCTACAAAGTAGTTGTAAAAAGTCACCACACTGCAGTTATCACACTACTGCAAGGACTTTGTTATGACAGAAGTACAAAAATTATAAAGAGGTCTATAGTCAAAAGAAATTCATTGAATACTTGCAACTTTTTCGGTTTATACATTTAGATATAAGAGGTTTCTCCACCTGATTACTGCTGTTACTTTGCCAAGTACTAAGTGACCATATACTAATGAATAGCATTTATGATGTACACTAGTAAATAGCATTTACTATTATGTAGCATTTAAAGAGTAGGCATTATGCCTGTGCTGAAAAGTACCACTGCTGTCTGTAATATCTGTATTACTAAATGTTCCCTTCAGAAAGATGTTTTTAAATGCCCCTTCCATACCTTACTCACACAATATCCTCTCTACAGATCCCTCTCAAAAACATACAGAAATTCAGTAGATATATAGCACATTACTTTCATGTTAGTGTGAAATTCAAAAATTCAACATTAGAAAGGTCTTTCTCTGCTACTTCTTTTTACAGAATAGGACATAGGCTCAGAGAGAATAAGTGACTTGCCCAAGGACATAAAACTAGTTATGGCAAAGTGAAGACTGTAACCTAGAAGTATTATTATGGGTATTAAGTTTTAAAATTTATTGCAGATGAGTATTATAAATGCCACCTGAATTATATCTCTCCCAAAACCATAAAGCATAACTTATTAAGAACTAGAAAAACAATGTTTTGTAATTCTCCTGTCATCTCTTAAACAGTGGTTTTAGTGGAAAAGGCTAATCTAGTTTTAACTTTTTACAACTATTTAAACAAATTTTGGAAAACAACTCTAAGTGTTACACAGCGGTTTATTTATCTGTAGACTTATCAGAGCATCATTATAACGCTCAAAGAGGTGTTACTGATTCAAATAATCCATGGTTTATTTACAACATTCACATTAAATCTCAATTTTATTGTTAGATATTGTTATTGATGATACTAAAGGTAAAAAAATTCATGTAACGATAATAGAGTATTATTCATGAGAATAAATGTAAGCCTTATTTTCCTGAGAAGATTACTATATTTGAAAATATTTCTTATATTCAGAAATTCAAGGTTGGGTGCGGTGGCTCACGCCTGTAATCCCTGCACTTTGGGAGGCTGAGACGGGCGGATCATGAAGTCAGGAAATCGAGACCATCCTGGCTTACACAGGGAAACCCCTTCTCTACTAAAAATACAAAAAAATTAGCTGGGCATGGTGGCAGGAGCCTGTAGTCCCAGCTACTCGGGAGGCTGAGGCAGGAGAATGGCATGAACTTGGGAGGCGGAGTTTGCAGTGAGCCGAGACTGTACCACTGCACTCCAGTCTGGGCGAAGAAAAAAGAAATTCAATAATAAATTAGTTCATTAAACTGTTTTCCTCTATTACTGGACAGTTATTAGAGAACATGAAAGTAATGAATGCCTTACAGATGGTGAAGTTAGAAAGACAGGTACTATCATTAGGTAAAAAGGAATAGAATGTAGAAATAGGAAGGAAGGAAATTTGATTTATTTAAAAATGTTGCCTAGATGTGGTCCTGTCTGAGATTTGTGTTCAAATTTAAGCTTAGTCAGAACTTAACTTGTCACTGTGACAGCTTTAAACAATCTAATTTTAAAGAATTTAATCTATATTTAAGTTTCAAAGATCAAATACATTATATTAATGTATTTTTTTCTCAAAAGGATGGGCAAAACAATTTATTTTAATGACAAATGCCCAGATTTTACTTGAAAAGATAAAAGCTCATATAATTTTTTTTTTCTTTTTTTTTTGAGACAGAATCTCACTCTGTTCCCAGGCTGGAGTACAGTGACGCTATCTCGGCTCACTGCACACCTGGCTAATTTTTTGTATTTTTAGTAGAGACAGGGTCTCACCATGTTGGCCAGACTGGTCTTGAACTCCTGACCTCAGGTGATCTACCTACCTTGGCCTCCCAAAGTGCTAGGATTACAGGCGTGAGCCACCGCACCCAGTCCACTCATATGATTTGATTCCAGGAGTGCAGTAGGGAGCCCAGAACATTTTACTGTGCCAAAAAATAAGTGCTCAAGGAAAGATGAGGAGATACAAAAGAACACAAGACCCAACTTGAGGGCATCCCACTGGCCATATCATATTTAGAACAATTAAAGCATCAAAAAGAATAATGATAATGGATTATAATACACTGAATAAAAAGGAATCCATGAGTTTATATTGATATAATTTTTTTTAATGGGGAAGGAGGAGAAGGAAGAGAAGTGAAAACTGTTCTGTTACAGAAGAATAACAACTAATAAATAGAAGGAATAACAGAAATTATGACCACCACAGTAATAATTGATTCAGGCAAGAATCAATGGATGCCAGATCTACTGGGTGAAAGATTATTAAGGAATAGCATATTCACAGAGTTTAAAGAATAACATCACAGGTGACTTATTAACTACCAAGGGAAAAGGGCATCTTTACAGTATTAAAATCTGGCAGATATTATCTTATATTTGAACATCACCAATAATGAGATAATCAGGCTCATGTGCCCCCGATTTGATGCACTGGGAAAGACATAATGTCACCTATGTAGCATCCCTGCCAAAAATATATAACCTGAATCTACTAATGAGGAAATAATCAGATGAATCCAAATTGAGGAATATTCAATGGAACAACTGGCCTGGACTATTTTAAAAAGTCAATGTCATAAAAGACAAAAAAGGAAGGAAAGGAGGGAGGAAGCAAGGAAGGAAAGGAGGGAGGAAGCAAGGAAGGAAGGAAGGGAGGAAGCAAGAGAGGAAGGAAGGAAGAAGATTATAGAACTATTCTACATTACAGAAGACTAAAGAGATGTGACAACTAAATGATTCTTAATTGGAGCCTACATTGAAAAAAATTAAAAGCTGTAAGGGGCATTACTGGGAAAATGGGATAATTCTGAATATGAACAATATATTAAATAATATTGTATAAATGCTAAATTGCTTGAGATAATTGTATCGTGATTATATAGGAGAATTTATATAAGAGAATTCCTTGTTCTTAGGAGACAAATGATGAAGCATTTACGGGCAAAGTGCTATATTTGCAATTAATTCTCACAAGATTTAGGGAAAAAAGAGTGTGTGGGGCTAGGTGCAGTGGCTCATGCCTGTAATCCCAGCACTTTGGAAGGCCAAGGCGGGCAGATCACCTGAGGTTGGGAGTTTGAGACCAGCCTGACCAACATGGAGAAACCCCATCTCTATTAAAAATACAAAATTAGCTAGGTGTGGTGGTGCATGCCTGTAATCTCAGCTACTCGGGAGGCTGAGGAAGAAGAATCGCTTGAACCTGGGAGGCAGAGGTTGTGGTGAGCCAAGGTTGCATCATTGCACTCCAGCCTGGGCAATAAGAGCAAAACTCCGTCTCAAAAAAAAAAAAAAAAAAAAAGATTATGTGTTCGGTGTGTAGGAATACAGAAAAAAAGAAAACATTCAATATATTAACAATTGGTAAATTTAGGTAAAGAGCATATAAATGTTCATTGTGCCATTATAATATTTTTTATGGGTTTGAGATTTTTCAAAATAAAAGTTGAAGAAAGAAAAAGGAAACCAATATTATTTAATAAAAATAATAAGCCAAACTATAATGTTCAGTATTTATGGCACATAATAAAGGCTCAATAAATATTTTAATAAATGAATACATATCCTAGAAATATTTTTATAAGCGTATTTTTGTCCTAGGATCAACTGTTAAAGAAACATTCCTAGGCCGGGTATGGCAGCTCACACTTGTAATCCCAGCACTTTGGGAGGCGGAGGTGGGCAGATCAGCTGTCAGGAGTTTGAGACCAGCCTGGACAACATGGTGAAACCCTGCCTCATCTAAAAATACAAAAAATTAGCCAGCGTGGTGACGTGAGCCTGTAGTCCCAGCTACTTGGGAGGCTAAGGCAGAACAACTGCTTGAACCCAGGAGGCAGAGGTTGCAGTGAGCCGAGATTGCACCACTGTACTCCAGCCTCCAGCCTGGGCAACTGAGCAAGACTCTGTCTCAAAACAAACAAACAACAACCACACACACAACAAAAAAGAACGATTCCTGAGAGCATCTGGAATTAAATGAATAGCTCTGGTGAAGTCTGGCTGCTGGTACTGTGCTTTTTTTAAACTTGCTGATTTTTGCTGCCATGAAAAATCAGCATCATCACAACCAGATTCAAAAAGGTATTGTTTCTATTCATCACTATACTGGAAAAGAAGTAGAAAATAAAAAAGGTATCAACACCCAAAAGCACTGTGTTCTACAAATAAGTATTCTACGTAAAGTAGAAGTTCTATACCTTTACTTACAAGGTATTTGTATCAAGAAAAGTGAATGTTATCTAAAACAAGTTGAAAGAACACCTAACTCTATTTGATTATTTGCTAAATAACATTTATTTTTCCTTAAAAAGGAATTTGAGGGAATATATTTCTTATTCTCCATACCTTGATAGGAAATAAAATGTGTGAATTTTTAAAAAGTTATCACCTGTGATCAAAACTTATTTTTTTTTTTTAAATAAAGATTAGAAATAAGTCAGCTTTGAGGTATTATACTGATTTAAAGGGAAAGCTACAATTGCAGGCTAAACAGAAAAAGAAAGCAGATTATTTCAACTGAACACCACTCAAGATAATATGATATATGATGGGCTGGCTGAGGTGGCTTATGCCTGTAATCTCAGCACTTTGGGAGGTCGAGGCTGGCAGATCACCTGAGGTCAGGAGTTCGAGACCAGCCTGGCCAACATGGTGAAACCCCATCTCTACTAAAAATACAAAAATTAGTCAGGCATGGTGGCACATGCTTGTAGTCCCAACTACTCGGGAGGCTGAGGCAGCAGAATTGCTTGAATCCAGGAGGCAGAGGTTGCAGTGAGCCGAGATCACGCCCCAGCCTGGGTGACGGAGCGAGACTGTCTCAAAAAAAAAAAAAAAAAAAGATAATATGATGAAGAAAAATGATGAAGGAAACCTAATTGCTAAAAAGTAAGTAAAAATGTCTATTATGGTCTATTATGGCCTTTTATTTTCCATGATTTCTTAGTGTTTTATACAAGTAACCATTAGTGTTAAGTAATTATTTCAAATGAACTACATATTTGTAGTCACTTATGAACAAATATCTAGTTTAGCTTTTTAATTATGCTGAATGACACATATAATTATTCTTTAATATGGAAATCTGGCATGTAGAATTTCATCACTATGAAATTTATATATCAAGGAAGTAATCAATAAATATACCCAGTAGATATTCCCTAAAAATTCTATACCATTTTAGAGGGTTTCTTTCTTTGCTTTTACCATGATGTTCTTCCTAAATTATCAATAACACATATATTAACTATAGTTTTTCGTTATCCTGAGGAATCAATGTCAGAAAAATAATAATATTTGTGACATCAGGTTAAGGAAAAAGAAGTAATGAAGGGACTGACTTTTTTGTTCATTTTATTAATTATTGTAGTACTAAGTCCCATCCTTACTGTATTTGTAGCCATAATTGGGAAAGATGTTAAAAGTGTTCCACATAACTTCATACTCCATAAGTCAGTTTATCCAAGTATTACTTCTTGGCTAGCATTCTGTCTGTTACCACTTTCTGAATCATATTGTTCCTTCAAGTACTACTGAATAGCATACTCTAGTATACTGGACATTACTGAAGAAGGATTCCATAGATAGACATTTTTAAAATAGGAGCTTCTTTTTAGTAATATATCTATGGTAATGAGAGCTTGTATAGGAATGCAAACTTCTAGTGAGTGGAGTTTTTCCCCCCTACAGTCTAGTTCATTGAGAAGGAATTTTGTTAATTGAGATAAAACATTTTTCTAACAGTTTTTGTTGCTTCCTTCCTTCCTAAAATTTGAACATTGCTGCCTCATGCTGTAACGAAACAGTTGTCAGAGAAATCAACGATCAACGACTGTATAATGTTTTTTGCTTTTTGTTTTTTTTTTTAAGACAGATTCTATTCTGTTGCCCAGGCTAGAGTGTAGTGGCATGATCTTGGCTCACTGCAGCCTTGACCTCCTGGGTTCAAGTGATCTTTCAGCCTCAGCCTACCAAGTTCATGGAGCTACAGGTGCCTGGCTAATTTTTTATTTTTATTTTTTAGAAATGGGATCTTGCTACATTGCCCAGGCTAGTCTCAAACTCCTGGGCTTAAGCAGTCCTCCTGCCTCAGCCTCCCAAAGTGCTGGGATTACAGGTGTGGGCCACAATGTCCAGCCTGTCCCTGCATCTTTATATGTTTATTGCAAGTAGAAGACTAGCATAAACCTCCCAGCCTGATCAAGACAAAATCCCATCTCTACGAAAAATACAAAATTAGTGCATGCCTGTAATCCCAGCTACTCGGGAGGCTGAGGCAGGAGAATGGCTTGAACCTGGGAGGTAGAGGTTGCAGTGAGCTGAGATCGCACCACTGCACTCCAGCCTGGGCAACAAGAGTGAAACTCCATCTCCAAAAAAAAAAAAAAAAAGATTAGGATAAACCTTAACTAAAATACTATGCATTTTCTTATTATTTTCCTCTTTTGCAAAAATGTGTTAAACTTCTGGATAATTAAGTAATATAATTAGTTGGGTTCTGATTAATATAGATGGAATTCATGCACATATCTTTTATATGCTCATATGTTCTTGTAGTCGTCAGTTTTAATTGTTAAAAACGTGATTATTGTAATAAACTTTCATTATATCTTATGTAAAATAATTGTGTGTCTGAGACAGACTAAAACTCATGCTCTACTTCTCATGATTTCTCTTTCTTTTTTGTTTACCTTTCATAGAAAGAAGAAGTATAGCCTCAGTATTTGTGTGTATTTTTGAAAGAGTAAAATGGGGACTAAGAAGGTATATCTACATGCTATACCTTTTGATAGCATTCTGTTTCAAATCTCCACTTCTCATCATTGACTGGAACACAGTTGAAAAAATATTAAACTGATTTTGTGATGATGAATTTAGGAATTCCAGTTAGCTAAGGATTAGGAAAACCGATTTTCAGAGGCATATTCTGATCCAGAATGGGGCTTTAATATATTATATTATACTAAAACGTAAGGCAGTAGTCTACTAAAATAGAGTACTTGAGCACCATAATACTCATCTCAGTCAATTGAAGTATTCAGGATCAATGATAAAGTCCATTCAGTACTCCTAAATAATAAACCTTTTTTAAAAAAGTAATTATCAGTAACCTCTGGGTACATGACTATACCAAAGTTAGCAAGTGATTCCAAAGATTTTTAATAGAATCGAGGCCTGATTTTACAAGTTAAATGAAAAAGAATTCTAGGAAAAACCTTTCATTGGCACCTTTATGAAGGATTACTTCTTTTTTTTTTTTTTTTTTTTTCAAAGTCACTCTGTTGCTCAGGGTGGAGTACAGTGGCGCGATCTTGGCTCACTGCAACCTCCGCCTCCTGGGTTCAAGTGATCCTCCTGCCTCAACCTTCTGAGTAGTTGGGATTACAGGCATGCGCCACCATGGCCGGCTAATTTTTTGTTGTATTTTTAGCAGACACATGGTTTCACCATGTTGGCCAGGCTGATCATGAATTCCTGTCCTCAGGTGATCCACCTGCCTCGGCCTGTCAAAGCGCTGGGATTCCAGGCGAGAGCCACCATGCCCAGCCTATGAATGGTTACTTCTTAAAATTCATACAAGTAATATGACATGTGTTTTTTAGAAGTCTTATTTAATAAATTTGAAAGATATTAAATTATTAGAAAAATTATCTTGCCAAGAATTTCAAAAGTCAGGAAACAGCAGCACTCACCCACCTTCACTAACCAGCTCACTATTGTCTGACTGTTTACAAGAGATGATCTTCTCCACTAGTTGGTTGTAGCTGCAGTTACCAACAGCTTTTACGATGTCATCAATCTAGAAAACAAATGACTGTCTCACTAATCATGGTAAGATTAGAAACAAAACAAAAGAGAGCCATATCACTCTTTATAATTTTATTCTAATACTAAATATAAAACTATTATTTAAGAAAAACAAAATCAGCACTAAAATCAACACCCAACAGTTTCCAAGTTTGTTTACAGCTCAGTATGACACATTACGAAAAATACTGCAGTTGTATTATTTTAATTATGCAAAAAAAGATTAAATAGGATTATTACATGCAACTTTATTTCTTAAGGTCATAAACATGTATTTAAGTGATCAAAATAAAACATAAACTACTTCAGGAGAAAAAATAAGAGAATATCCATTTTTTTTCACCCAGCATAAACTACCAAGCAAGTTTTTTTTTTTTAAAAAAAAAACTAAAAAACAAATGCTGCATATTTAAAGCAAGGCAACTTTAAATATGTTAATTTATAGGATTAATAAAATTATTACATTTTATTACTTATTTCCTAGAGAAGTATAGTGGAGATGTGAGTAGAGATAACTAACATTATTTTCCTGAAGAAAAGTATGTTAATCAGGAATGGTATCTGCTTCATGATTCTTATTTAATCTTTATTTTTGGAGGTACAGCAGAAGAGTAAATTTAAACTTTTAAGCTATAGGAAAATAAAATTGGGCTTCTTTACTCTGTCTCATTACACTTTGCTTTGACTATAGAAGAAAAAGAGGTTTCTACTGTCTAAACAACTTATATAGTTGCCTTTCCACACATAAAAATATATTTATATTTATTTATAAATTATTTACGTGTATTGCTGTATTAACAAGTTATATACCTAATAAATACAAATTTTAGAATTATATAAATAAAAATAAGAGGGCCAATGTTTTCTTCCTACATTCAAATGATCACCTTTGAATATCACAGGTCTCAACATATATCTGCACATACTCAGCAGTGGTTTTCAAACTTGGGGAGCTTATTAAAAAGATGTAAAAGAATTTCAGGCTCAAGTTGCTTCTCAATTGTGTAAGTTTTCATTCCACTGAGCAGGTGATTCCGATGCATAACAAGTTTGAGAACCACCATTCTAGGCTATAATTTATTTTCCTTGTTTATGAAAAAGTCTACAATACTAAAAGACTCTTAACTCATACAACTGGAACTGATGATTGGTTGAGACGACAATCAGTTAATTCAAAACGTCAAAGCAGGAAATTGTGGAAAATGTTTACAGGCATAGATATCTTAAACATTTTTTTTAGTGGGGGGAATGGAGTCTCATTCTCTTGCCCAGGCTGGAGTGCAGTGGTGTGATCTTGGCTCATTGCAACCTCTACCTCCCAAGTTCAAGTGATTCTCCTGCCTCAGCCTCCCGAGTAGCAGGGATTACAGGTACCCGCCACCACACCTGACTAATTTTTTTGTTTGTTTGTTTTTAGATGGAGTCTCGCTCTGTCACCAGGGTGGAGTGTGGTGGGGTAATCTTGGCTCACTGCAACCTCTGCCTCCCAGGTTCAAGCGATTCTCCTGCCTCAGCCTTCCTAGTAGCTGGGACTACAGGCGCCTGGCACCACGCCCAGCTAATTTTTGTATTTTTTAGTAGAGTCGGGGTTTCACAATGTTGGCCAGGATGGTCTTGAACTCCTGACCTCAAGTACTCTGCCTTTCTCAGTCTCCCAAAGTGCTGGGATTACAGGTGTGAGCCAATGTGCCTGGTCCATATCTTAAACATTTCATATTAACTTAAAACACAAAAATGTATTCAATGGTCAATCTTTTGACGCAGGGCCAAACAAATCCTTTTCTTTGCAAGAGGATCCTTGGGATAAGATTCTATGTAGATTGCACAAAAAACATCTATGAGTTCCAGCTTTGATTTATGTAAAATGAGAAGTTAGACCCTTAAGAAACAATTTGAGGGCACAATCTCTTCAGATGTTATTTTCCTCAACACCTTTACTTTATAGTGCTTTTCATTAGTGACTCAATTTCAGTAAGTCTTTTCAAAGAATCTGAATTTTCAATTCTAAGAAATCCACAAAAATACAGCTACAATAAGTTGGCTGTGGTGGCTCACAACATAACGCAAACACTTTAGGAAGCTGAGGCAGGAGGATATCTTAAGGCCAGGAGTTCAAGACCAGTCTGGGCAACACAGCAAAACTCCTGTCTCTAAAAATAAAATAAAATATTTTTTTTGAGATTTTTTTCTTACTCTGTCTCCCATGCTGTGTCACCCACAATGGAGTGCAGTGGTGTGATCTGGGTCTCACTGTATCACTCTCGCTGGAATGCAGTGGTGTGATCACAGCCCACTGCAGCCTCAACCTCCCAGGCTCAAGCAATCCTTCCACCTCAGCCTCCTGCATAGCTGGGACTATAGGCACACGCCACCACACTCAGCTAATTTTGAAATTTTTGGTAGAGACAGTCTCATTATGTTGTCCGGGCTGGCCTCAAACTCCTGGGCTCAAGCAATTCTCCCACCTTGGTCTTTCAAAATGTTGGGATTACAGGCGTTAGCCACCACGCAAGGCCTCTAACAAAACATTTTTTTAAAAATTAGCTGGACATGGTGGTGCACGTCGATAGTCCCAGCTATTCAAGAGGCTGAGGCGAGAGGATTGCTTGACTCCAAGAGTTCAAGGCTGCAATGAGCTATGATCATGCTACTACACATCAATCAGCCTGGGCAATGGGGCAAGACACGGTCTGTAAAACAAAACAAAACCCCCCAAAACCCAACTACAATAATAAACACAAGATCAACAGGCTGGGCATGGTGGCTTATGCCTATAATCCCAGCACTTTGGGAAGCTGAGGCGGGCAGATCACCTGAGGTCGCGAGTTCCAGACCAGCCTGGCCAACAAGATGAACCCTCATCTCTACTAAAAATACAAAAAATTAGCCAGGCGTGGTGGTGGGCACCGGTAATCCCAGCTACTTGGGAGGCTGAGACAGGAGAATCACTTGAAACCGGGAGGTGGAGGTTGCAGTGAGCCAAGATCACGCCACTGCACTCCAGCCTGGGCGACAGAGCGAGACTCTGCCTCAAAAAAAAAAAAAAAAAAAAATTTAAAATATTCATAGGCAGAATCCAGAATCTGTACATTAGTGTTTCACTCAAGGCCAGGTGTGGTGGCTCACATCTATAATCCCAACTTTAGGAGGCTAGTGGGGGAGGACTGCTTTAGCCCAGGAATTTGAGACCACCCTGGGCAACATAGCAAGACTTTGTCTTCACAAAAAATAAAAAATCTAGCCAGGCATGGGAGTGTGTGCCTGTAGTCCCAGCTACTCAGGAGGCTGAGACAGGACTGCTTTAGCCCAGTAGTCCCAGGTTGCAGTGAGCTATGATCATGCTACCCAGGCTAGTCTTGAACTCCTGGGCTCAAGTGATCCTCTTGCCTTGGCCTCCCAAAGTTCTAGGATTATAGGCATGAGCCACTGTGTCCAGCCATGTATTTTGACTTTATTAATGTCAATTTCCTAGTTTTGATATTTTACTAAATTTTGCAAAATTACTAAATTTTCCCATTGGGGAAAACTGGGTAAAAGGTATGAGGGATCGTTCTTTATTATTTCTTTTTTTTTTTTTGAGATGGAGTCTTGCTCTGTTGCCCAGGCTAGAGTACAGTGGCACCATCTTGCCTCACTGCAAACTTCGCCTCCTGGGTTCAAGTGATTCTCCTGCCTCAGCCTCCTGAGTAGCTAGGATTACAGGTGCCCGCCACCACACCCGGCTAATTTTTGTATTTTTTAGTAGACACGGGGTTTCACCATCTCGGCCAGACTGGTCTTGAACTCCTGACCTCATGATCCACCCGCCTCGGCCTCCCAAAGTACTGGGATTACAGGCGTGAGCCACTGCACCCAGCCCATTCTTTATTATTTCTTACACTGGCATGTGAATCTACAATTACTTCAAAATAAAAAGTTTAATTTATAAAAAAGGTAAATTCTCACCTCCTACCATAAAACAAAATAAATTTGAAAGGCATTGGCTGGTAGGAGTCCTTTGTCTTTTTCTTTTAAAGTTCACAATTAACCAATATTATTTTGAAATTTGAATCTTACTTATGTTAAAAAATGTAAGTAAGTGAATATAATATTACAACAGTATAGGAATAGACATAACAGATCAGTGGAAAAGAGAAGACTCTAACCTATATAAAAATTTAGTATGTGATGGTAGAATTATTTTTTCCTTTCATCCTTCCAATTGACTCTCCATTTCTTCTCTATTCGGGAGACTAACCTCTATGGACTGCGGCAACTGGAATTCTTACTTTCTAGTTATCAGCTGAATTTGGCCACTGGGAGCTACTGGAGGAAATCAGAAAGTGGCAGTCAGAGAATGTTTTACCTATGCTCTTTCCCTGTCGGGCCATAGCTTGGTGCTAGTATTCCGCTCCTGCAGGTCACATCTCCTGGTCAGGAGCTCTGTGCTTTACTAATCAATCTTGCTGTGTTCTGCTAAGTATTCCCTCTCCTTGTCTCTTCAGAGTTAGGAGTGGCAATCATTTTCTGCTGTTGCTAGGTCTAAGATGCTTCACCAACCTTTGCTTGTTCCCCTTAACTTTGTCCACACCTTTGTAAATAGTCTCTTCATTAAACTTCTGACAGTTATCCTTAAGTGTGTCATCTACTTCCTGCCAGGACCCTGATACCCTTGACAAGAGGCAAAATCTGGATTGCTAGAATGGATAGATGGCAGTGCCTTTTTAAAATAAATGTTTAGGTAATACAAAATCTCTTTTCAAAGCTATGCAATAAAGAATATGGTTTTGCCCAAAGAAAGGTTTGACCTTTGTCCCGGCTCCTATGAAATAACTTCTAAATCTTGGCAATTCCGTACCAATAGGATTGACTGTGTTATTTATCGTGGGCTCCTTGGGCCACACCTGCAGTTTATACTAATGATGGATCCCTTGAACCACATGGTGTCAGCTCAGCTTCCAGGGAGGAAAGGGTAGGAGTCTGGGTTCAATTACATGGGCAATAAATTAAATCATACCTACATAATGAAATCTCAATAAAAAATCTGAACACTGAAGATTGGGTGAACTTCCAGGATTGGCAGCACTCCATGCATATTGTCATACATCAATTCCAGGAGGATATGATGTCCTGAGGATCCAAGGGGAAGCTTCACAGTTGGAACCCTCCGAGATTCTGCCATATATCTCTCTTTCCTTGGCTAATTTTAACCTGTACCTTTGCCCTGTAATAAACTGTAATGGTGAGTATAATAGGTTTCAGGGAGTCCTGTCAGTCACTCTGGTGAATTACTGAACCTGAGGTTAGTTTTGGGAAACCTCTGAACTTGTGATTGGTGTGAGAAGTAAGGGTGGTCTTCTATGAGCTCTTCCCTCTAACCTTGTAGTTGGGCCCTAGCTCCTTGCAGTTGGGGTCAGAGGTCTTGGGCAGACTTAGTAGTCTAGAGGACTGCGCTCTTAACCTCATAGTTTGGCTAATTCCAGGCAAAAGTGCAAAAAAAGTAAGTAACAAAAAATATAAATTGAGATTAATTTTCCAAATTAATACATTTTTCCTGCATTTGTGTTTATATAATTTAAATTCTTTGACTTACCTGAGGGTCTACTAACCACCCATGGTACAAAGGAATATCAAGAAGATCAAATACTATGCATTCTGGTGTATATTCAAACACTCGAACACCAGTGAATCTTACATTTACATCCAGGCCTGTCTGTAGTTTGTGCAGAATTGCCATGGCATCACTCATATTCTGAAAATAGAAAAGGGGAAAGTTCTAATTCAGAAACATCAAAACACGAACAAAAAAGATATTCAAGTACAAGCACATTTACTTTTAATTTTCCATTTTATCCAATAAATTCAATTCAACATATTTTTATTATTGAGTATCTACTATGTGTCAGGCACTAATTGGAGTTTGAAAGATATAACAATGAATAAAACAGACACTGAGGTGGGCGGATCACTTGAGGTCAGGAGTTTGAGACCAGCCTGGCCCACAGGGTGAAACCCTGTCACTAAAAATACAAAAATTAGCTGGGCGTGGAGGCATGCGCCTGTAGTCCCAGCTACTTGGGAGGCTGAGGTGGGAGGATCACTTGAACCCAGGAGGTGGAGGTTGCAGTGAGCCGAGATTGTGCCACTGCATTCCAGCCTGGGCAACTGAGCGAGACTCAGTCTCAAAAAAACAAAACAGAACAAAACAAGACAAAGTTCATGCTCTTATGCAACTAATATTCTATTGAGAGAGATAAACATGTATATATATAAAACAATGTCAAGTATTAGTAAGAAAAACTGAGCAAGAAGAGGTTGTAGAAAGTAGGAGAAATGAAGGACCTATGTTAGACCAGAAAGTCTAAAGTCAAATGTTTTTAAAGTCAAAGAGGAAGGCCTCTTCTACTGTTGAATCTAAAATAATTGAAAGTAGGATCTTGAAGAGATACTTGTACACCCATGCTCATTGCAACATTATTCGTAATTCTTTATCTATTCTTAGTTACAACTGACAAATGAATACAGAAAATGAGGTATATACATACAATGGAATATTATTCAGCCTTAAAAAAAGAAGGAAATCCTGTCATATGCTACAACCTGGATGAACCTTGAGGACATCTTGTTGAGTGAAATAAGCCAGTCACAAAAGTAAAAATACTGTATGATTCTACTTATATGAGATATTTAGAGTCATCAAAACCATAAAAACAGAAAGTAGAATGGTTGTTTCCAGGGGATTGGAGCAAGTGGGAAAGGGGAGTTGTTTGATGGACATAGGGTCTCACTTTGCTGCTCAGGCTAGAGTGCAGTGGTGTGATCATGGCTCACCACAGCCTCAAACTCCTGGGCTCAGGTGATCCTCCTGCCTCAGCCTCCCATGTAGCTGGGGCTACAGGTACATGCTACCATGCCCAGCTAATGTTTTTGATATTTTGTAGAGATGGGCTCTTACTATGTTACCCAGGCTGGTCTTGAATTTCTTAGCTCAAGTGATTCTCCACCTCATCCTCTCAAAGTACTGGGATTACAGACACAAGCCACCATGCCTGGCAAGTTTCAGTTTTAAAGATGACAAAGTGGCCGGGTGTGGTGGCTCACACCTGTAATCCCAGCACTTTGGGAGGCTGAGGCGGGTGGATCACGAGGTCAGGAGATCGAGACCATCCTGGCTAACACAGTGAAACCTCGTCTCTACTAAAAATACAAAAAATTAGCTAGGCATGGTAGGAGGCAACTGTAGTCCCAGCTACTTAGGAGGCTGAGGCAGGAGAATGGTGTGAACCCGGCAGGCGGAGCTTGCAGTGAGCCAAGATTGCGCCACTGCACCTCCAGCCTGGGTGACAGAGCAAGACTCCGCCTCAAAAAAAAAAAGGATATATTTTATATTGCGTGGTTTCTAACACAATTAAAAAAAACAGAAATAAGCTATCAAGCCATGAAAAGACACAGAGAAAACTTAAATGCATATTAGTAAAAAAACAAGCTAATCTGAAAAGGCTACATACTGTGTAATTCCAAATGACATTCTGGAAAGGGCAAGACTATAGAGACAGTAAAAAAGATCGGTGGTTGCCAAGGATTAAGTGAAGGGAGGAGTGAACAGGCAGAGTACAGAGAATTTTTAGGACAGCGAGACTATTCTGTATGATACTGTAATGATTGATACGCATCATTATACATTTTTCAAAATCCATAGAACATACAAAACCAAGAAAGAGTAAATTATAGACTCTTGGTGATAATAATGTGTCACTGCAGGTTTATCAATAATAAATGAACCACTCTGGTGCAGGATGTTGATAGTGGGGGAAGCTGTGTGTGTGGAGTTAGGAGGAACAGTATAGAAATTCTCAGTACTTTCCATACTCAATTTTACAGTGAATGCACTGAAAAGGAAGGAAGGATGGAAGGGAGGGAGGGAGGGAGAGAGAGAGGAAGGGAGAGAGGGAGGGGAGTGGGGAATGTAAAAGGGAGAGGAAAGAAGGAGAGGGAGGTGAGGGAGACAGGCCTCTTTGAAAATGACACTAGAATAGAGACCACAGTGAGCACTGACTCTTAGGAAGCTCTGGGCAAAGAGCATTCCAGACAAAGTAGACACCAGTGCAAAAACAAGTTTATTACTGTGTCCGTGGAACAGCATGGGGCCCAGTGTGGCTGGGACAAAATAAAAATGAAAAATTGTAGGAGATGAAGTCTAAGAGACAGGCAGAGGCTGGATCACAAAGACTTGTTTGTCAAATTAAGGAGTCATTCTGTCCACATCAGTTTTCTCAATAAATGTAGTCATATACATCTGGAATAAAGACTATTTTTAAATGCTTTTCTAAGCATGTTAACACATTAAATATGGACATATGTATAGAAAGTACACTTGAAAGAATAAAGAAAAACCGATACATAAAATTTAACACTTTTACTGAATCCTTACTGCTAATAAGACACTGTACAAGATACTAAAGACACAGAATATGAACAGTAGACTACAGTCTATAGAGGGGTTTGATAATAAAAAGGGTGAAAATGAAGGAAATCTTCTTATATTAAAACTAGGGATTCTCTTTCAAATTTGAAAAAGACAAATTTAGGTTACAAAAACGAAGTTCTGTTTTATGAAATAATTCACAAAATTCCATTCTAACAGACTGTACAGACTGTAAACAGGAATCATTCAAATGTTTTAAATTCATGAAAGATGCATTTATAATAGGATAACATTGTTATACTGCAGTCTTTTACCTTTGTCAGTTTCATCTCTTCCTACTATGTATGTTTCCCCCAAACAATGTATTTTCTCTACCTTCCCAAAAATTGAACCCTTAAAAACAATCAGCTTACATTTTTTCCCTTAAGTGTTTTCGAACTTTTCTTAAATCTACAGCAATGATGAATCTGAAAAAATACTAACAATAGCAATCTAAGAATTATAGTTTTACAATCACCAGATTTTCCTCTATTTTTGTAAATTTTTGGTTGTCAACCACCCAACTTCCTTCAGGGGCAATATGATTTCTAATGGCTCTGGGTTCAGGCTTATTCCTTCATATATTTGCTACAATTATTCTCCCTTATTTAGTATTAAAACAACTGAGTTAACACCATTTGATATCTTCATAAAGATTACTAAAACTGATGAAAGAGGCCAGTCACAGTGGCTCATGCCTGTAATCCCAGCACTTTGGGAGGCTGAGGTGAGCAGATCACTTGAGCCCAGGAGTTTGAGGCTGCAGTGAGCCACGACAGCACCACAGCAATCCAGACCATGTGACAGAGTGACAGACCTCGCCTCAAAAAAAAAAAGGCTGGCACGGTGGCTCACTCCTGCAATCCCAGGCAGGCAGATCACTTGAGGCCAGGAGTTCGAGACCAGTCAGGCCAACATGGTGAAATGCCATCTCTACTAAAAACAAAAAAATTAGCCAGGAGACATGTCTGTAATCCCAGCTAATTGGGAGGCTGAGGCATGAGAATCCCTTGAACCTTAAAGGCAGAAGTTGTACTGAACTGAGATCGTGCCACTGCACTCCAGCCTGTACAACAGAGGGAGACTGTGTTTGTTTTTTTGAGATGGAGTCTTGCTCTGTTGCCCAGGCTGCAGTGCACTGGCATGATCTTGGCTCACTGCAACCTCCACCTCCTGGGTTCAAGGGTTTCTTCTGTCTCAGCTTCTCAAGTAGCTGGGACCACAGGCGCATGCCACCACGTCCAGCTAACTTTTTGTATTTTTCGTAAAGATGAGGTTTCACCGTGTTATCCAGGATGGTCTCGATCTCCAGACCTTGTGATCCCCCCGCCTCAGCCTCCCAAAGTGCTGGGATTACAGGCGTGTGCCACGCGCCCGGCCGAGACTCTGTCTTAATAAAAAACAACAACTGATAAATTAAACAAACTTATTTTAAAAGGGTTTTAAACTCTTGGGTAAGTATTTTACCACTTTGTTCCTAATTCCAAATTATACTTAATATTATAAAATACAAATGTGAGCTATGGTTGCTTGCCTTACAAGAAGGGAGTACTACTGGAAACTTTAAGGCAGTGGTTAAACTGTTTCTTAGAACTCTTTTCAAAGGAACTTTTAACATGGTCAAATATTTTAAATTTATTTATTTATTTTTATTTTTTTATTTTTTTTGAGGCAGAGTTTCACTCTTGTTGCCCAGGCTGGAGTGCAATGGCACGATCTCGGCTCACCGCAACCTCTGCCTCCTAGGTTCAAGCAATTCTCCTGCCTCAGCCTCCCTAGTAGCTGGGATTATAAGCAGGTGCCACCAGACCCAGCTAATTTTGTATTTTTAGTAGAGACGGGGTTTCTCCATGTTGGTCAGGCTGGTCTCGAACTCCCGACCTCAGGTGATCCACCCGCCTCAGCCTCCCAAAGTGCTGGGATTACAGGCATGAGCCACTGCGCCCGGCCTAAATTTAAATACAAAATATATTTTAAGAATATATTTGCACTCATTAAAAATTTGTTATGAACACACACACATGTTTTCTTGTACTGTCAGTATATTATTAGACAAAACTGGAAAAAATAGACTCTTTGCTTACATTACAACTTCTGGTAAAGAGTTTTAATTGGGAATATTGCAGCTCTGTGTTGGTCTTTCTAAAATTAGATTTGAAGAGGTCTGCTCAAGTAAAATTATACAAAAAAGAACACTATTACATCACACTTGTGGAACATTACACATTAGCTCAGACTGAGCCCAGCCATATAAGCTTGACATACACTATTTTCAAAACTAACAGTAATGTAATTATAACACCTTAGAGTTTCAGTGTTTATTTTAAAAGCAGGGTACTTTTTGCCTGATATGTTTATGAGAAATGCAAGCAGTTGTTAGATATTCTTTGTTTCAACTTTGAGCCAATATTTCCAATCTCTCTTTAAGAATCCTGATCAGTGTAATGGGAATGTATTCTAAGACTGCAAGATGGACTTAAACCAAATGCTGATAATATTTGCAAGCAATTTTATTTTTCTTTCTTTCTTAATTTTTTGATATGCAGTCTTCCTATATCACACCCAGACTGGTCTTGAACTCTTAGGCTCTAGTAATGCTCCTCCCTTAGTCTCCTGAGTACCTGGAATTACAGCTGCGAACCACTGTGACTGGCTGCAAACAGTTTTCTTTTCTTTCCTTTTTTTTTTTTTTTTTTTTGTAACAGGGTCTCACTCTGTTGTCCAGGCTGGAATGTAGTGGGTGTGACTTTGGCTCACCAGCAAACCTCTGCCTCCTGGGCTCAAGCGATCCTCTGACCTCAGCCTCCCACGTAGCTGGGACTATGGGGTGTGCCACAATGCCCAGCCAGTGTTTTTATTTTTTGTAGAGATAGGGTTTTGGCCATGTTGCCCAGGCTGGTCTCACTCTTGGGCTCAAGTGATCCGCCTGCCTTGGGCCTCCCAAATGCTGGGATTACAGGCATGAGCTACATGCCTGGTGCCTGCAAACACGAAAATTAAGATTTTCTCATTTTCAATCAAGATTTTCTCAGGATTAGGCAACGAAAGTAAGATGAATTTGGAGGTTGATATCAACTGCAACTATCATCCACAGTCCCTCTAATTTTATACTTTTTAATCAAAATAGCTTCATGATTTTCAGTAGAAATGGATATAAATTTCATAATACATGATATAAATTGAACCACTTTTATACTTATCATGTACTGGTTTTTATATAAGAAGGTGGATAGAGATTTCATTTGAAAAGAGGTTCTATTGCTAAAAATGTTTAAATATCACTGTTTTAAAGGTACAAATTCCCGATAAAATTTAAATGACTTAGAATACAAATTTGGCTTTAGCTGTAGATTTCCTTTCTTCTCCTTCTCCTTTTTTTTTTTTTTTTTGAAAAGGAGTCTCGCTCTGTTGCCCAGGCTAGAGGTGCAGTGGTGTGATCTCGGCTCACTGCAAGCTCTGCCTCCCGGGTTCACGCCATTCTCCTGCCTCATCTCTCCCGAGTAGCTAGGACTACAGGCACCCGCCACCATGCCCGGCTAATTTTTGTATTTTTTTTTTTAGTAGAGATGGGGTTTCACATGTTAGCCAGGATGGTCTCGATCTCCTGACCTTGAGATCCGCGCCACTGCCCTTGGCCTACCAAAGTGCTGGGATTATAGGCGTGAGCCACCGCCCCCGGCCTCTTATTATTATTTTTTGAGGCAGAATCTCCCTCTGCTGCCCAGGATGGAGTGCAGTGATGCAATCTCGGCTCACTGCAACCTCTGCCTCCCTGGTTCAAGCATTTCTCATGCCTCAACCTCCTGAGTAGCCGGGACGACAGGTACGCGCCGTTACGCCCAGCCAATTTTTGTATTTTTAGTAGAGATGGGGTTTTGCCATGTTGGACAGCTGGTCTCGAACACTTGAGAGTGACCCACCCACCTTGGCCTCCCAAAGTGCTGGGATTACAGAGCCACAGCATCTGGCCTAGATTTCGTATCTTATGATATGATGCAACGTAAGTTGTTGATTCTTCTTTTTTTTTTTTTTTTTTTTTTTTTAATAAGACAGAGTCTCGCTCTGTCACCAGGCTGGAGTATAGTGGCGGGATTCCAGCTCGCTACAACCTCCTCCTTCTGAGTTCAAGTGATTCTGCGGCCTCAGCCTCACAAGTAGCTGGGACTACAGGCGCGCACCACCCTGCCCAGCTAATTTTTTTTGTATTTTTAGTAGAGATGGGGTTTCACCATGTTGGCAAGGATGGTCTCCATCTTCTGACCTCGTGAACTGCCCACCTGGGCCTTCCAAAGTGCTGGGATTACAGGTGTGAGCCACCACGCCCAGCCAACTTGTTGATTTTTCAAATTCTATAGGACTAGATTATCTGAACATTAAATTCAAGAAATTTTGCAAGACTGAAATGAGTTATGCTTTCTTTTTGCAAATTTGATACTGGTGAAAGTATGTTAAAAAGGTTGCTTTGAAAGTAAATGTGAAGGTTCCAACGATGTCTCTTTCTTCCCTGGCTAATACTTCCTTCCACTCTAAGAAGCCAATTCCTTCTTGTCTTCGCCAAGTAAAGGAAGAATACTGACGAAAATAAAACTCCGCTTGCTTTTTTCCAGCACCAATAATTTTGAGCCTAGTGATACCTCCTACAATGCAGAACAGGATCTCTAAAGAACATGTCAAGGAATGTGGATACTGAAACTATCAAATAGCAAAACTTGTCCTAATGACATTCCATATACATCATTTGTTCAACTTTCTCCTGAACATAACTTAATTACAAAATATAAATAAAACTAGGAAAGATACATCAATGACAAATTCACCTGGAAGTCAGTTTTTCAAGAAAAACACTAGGTTTGATCCGTCATGGAATGAGAAAAAAAAAGGAAAAATACTGAGGAAAAAAATGAGAAGAAAAAGGAAAAAAAAAAGAGAAAAAAAGGAAAAAATCTGGCTGTGAGCTAAAAATGGATTTTATATTTTTAAAGAGGTATAAAAAAAGAAAACAAAGAATATGTAATAGAGACTGACCACATGTGGCCTGCAAAGTCTAAAGTGTTTGCTATCTAATCCTTTATAGAAAAATGCTGCCAGCTACTAATAGAGACCAATGTATATATTTAAACTTTAAAATTATATACTTTATATACTTTAACAAAAATTGTGTTTATTACCTGTTCATAATTTAAACGTTGAATTTCTGAAATTTCTTTTGGCTTTGCATCAAGCATGTAATCTCCTGTAAAAAAAAGAATTGTAAAATTGCCTTTTAAAAACTTTTTTTTTCTGATTACAAAAGTAATAGATCTTAATTATAAATGTTAAAACACTGTAGTTATAGCTAACATATAAAGTTGACTCACCAATCCTACCCAGAGAGAATCAATGTTAACTTTTCCTATCACCTCAAATATTTTTTCAATGTATATACTATAGTGCTTTTGAACTTTTTACTTCCATTTTATAATATATTTCAGCAGCATTCCACGTTACTATGTATAAAGGTCCGAAAGGTTGTACCAAATTTCATTGCTGTCAACAATATAACTATTTCTGATTACCTCACCAACAATGGGTATTATCAGTCTTCTAAATGTTTGCAACCCTGAGAAGTAAAAAAAAAAAAATTTAGCATCTGGCCGGTTTGGGTGGCTCATGCCTGTAATCCCAGCACTTTGGGAGGCTGAGGTGGGTGGATCACCTGAGGTCAGGAGTTCAGCCTGGCCAACATGGTGAAACCCCAACTCTACTAAAAATACAAAAATTAGCTGGGCGTGGTGGCGGGCACCTGTAATCCCAGCTACTTGGGAGGCTGAGGCAGGAGAATCGCTTGAACCTGGGAGGCGGAGGTTGCAGTGAGCTGAGATAGCGCCGCTGTGCTCCAGCCTGGGCAACTGAGTGAGACTCTGTCCCAAAAAAAAATTTTTTTTTTTTGCATTTAAAAAGATGGTATTTTTATATATGAGTTTTTATTTGGTATCACCTTTTAAATATATGTATACCCTTTTGATACACGTGGCAACTTTTTAATATATGTAGAACCTTCTAAAAATATGGATCACAATTTTAATACTTTTAAATCTATGTATTATCTTTCAAATTATGTATTAACTGTATGTACATACTTTTTTCCTTTGAATTATCTACCTATATAATTTTCTTTTTTTTTTCTTTTTTTTTTTTTAAGAGATGGGGTTTTGCCATGTTGCAGCATCCCAAAGTGTTGGGATCACAGGCATGAGCCACTGTACCTGGCCTATCTTTTCTTATTGAACTGTAAAAGCTAAACTGGGCTGGGCATGGTGGCTCATGCCTATAATCCCAGTGCTTTGGGAGGCCAAGGAGGGTGGATCACTTGAGGTTAGGAGTTCAAGACCAGCCTGGCCAATATGGTGAAACCCTGTTTCTACTAAAAATACAAAAATTAGCCAGGCGTGGTGTTGTGCACCTGTAGTCCCAACTACTCAGGAGGCTGAGGCAGGAGAATTGCTTGAACCCAGGAAGTAGAGGTTGCAGTGAGCCAAGATCGCGCCATTGTACTCCAGCCTGGGTGATGGAGCCAGACTCTGTCTCAAAAACAAAAACAAATTTTATTTTTTTAAAATCTTGTCAACTGGTTAATCTGTCTCTACCCTTCCAGACAACTAGTTAACTGATTTTTTGTGAGATCTAGACTTAGTGACATAACTGAGACTACACATTTTAGAAGACCTTTTTTTTTTTGAGACGCAGTCTTACTCTGTTGCCCAGGCTGGAGTGCAGTGGCGTGATCACAACTTGCTGCAACCTTAACCTCCCTAGGCTCAGGTGATCCTCCCACCTCAGCTTCCTGAGTAGCGGGGACTACAGGCATGTACCACCACACCTGGCTAATCATTTAAAAAAATAAATAAATAAATAAAGCTAAACTGGATGCAGAAAAATGAGCAAAACTTGGAAAGGCAATGGGAGAAAAAGCATCTTTTGAGGAGAAGAATGAATGGAGAAAACACATATAAGAAAGATCATGTCACATGGACAACTTATAAGAAGATTTAATACAAAAGATTTATATTGTAAAGTAGTGGCAAACACGGTTGAATAAGTAAACTTGAACAGATTTTAGAAAATCCTAAATAATATGCTGATAAGTTTGGCTGACTGTAAAAGATCACACGGATCTTTATACTATATTAAGTAGAGAAGTGAAGGATGAAATTGATGCTTTAGGAAAAGCACACTGATATGTAGGCTAATTTAGAGAACAAAGAATGATACAGTTTGCAGGTAAATCAGGTTGTGAAGTATCAGTATACAGAAACAGAAAAAATTTCAAGGAAAGAATTAATATAACCTTGCTACTAATGGGATATTCTAGATAAACAGAAAACAAGAAACCAAAATTTGACAGCTACTTTAGGCCAAAAAAATGGAAGAGACGGTTTGACATAAGTTTACTAGCTTATACCAGGTGAACATTTGGAAAAAAGGAAATACAGGCAACTCTGGGAGAAATTAAAATGCTTCAACATTGACCTGTCTTTACAGCGTATTTATATTCAAAAGATAAAATAATTTTTTCAAAGTCAGACAATGCCACCATCTCTATTATTTTCCTTACTTTATACTATGCCAGTCTTATCATCATACTAACAATATCAGATGGCTGAAGTCACAATATACATTCCAGTTTATGTTGAGTTTCATATTCCTGCTCATTTCCTGCCTTCTCCCTCCATCTCTTCCCCTACCTTACTTTATTACTCTTCCTAACACTTCCTGGCTATAGTGTTTTTCTCTATGCCAAAGCCCTCCAAAAAGCCATGTCCATGTCTGGCTCTGCTCTCATATTCTAGTAACAGAAATTTCCAGATTGAAATTCACCACTCTTCTAATCTTTGCCAATCAAAATTCCCATTTCCTTGGGGTACTTCAGCTAGGCACTAGGAAAGCAATTATTAGTTTCTCTTACAATCCCTCTACTAGTGTTTGCTTTTTAACTAAAAAACATCTTTTTTCTCCAGAGAAATGGAGCAATCTCAACAGGAGAACATCTAAATAGCTTAGAAAATTAAACAATTTGTTCTGGCACGATTGACCCTGAGTAAAGTTTACTTTTGGTGAGGCAGAGCCTTCAGAATTTATTTGCCTACACCGTTCTTGTTCACTTCTCCCCCATATCTCATTAAAATATTACTTTTACACTGTCACTAATAGCTAAGTCTTTTCACCAGTGATTCCCAAACCTCTTTAGCTACACCAGGTCTAGCTATTTCCCCATTAATTTTTCTTTTTCCTTATTAAAGTTATCTATCCTATGTTCTGCTTCCTCAGGGCTTTGCTAGCTAAGAGTTAGATAAATTTAACACACCAAGATGTGTTAACTATTTCTTTTATTACTCTTTCCAAGAAAAATACCATGCTGACATTTTCGTGGTTAAAGTACACTTATGCAGCCACATTAACTACATGTTGACACCTCCAAATAACTAGCTCACAGTACATACTCAGTAAATATTTACTGGATTGCTGGGTGCGGTGGCTCACGCCTATAATCCCAGCACTTTGGGAGGCCAAGGCAGGCGGATCACCTGAGGCCGGGAGTTTGAAACCAGCCTGGCCGAGATGATGAAACCCCATCTCTACTAAAAATACAAAAATTAGCTGGGTGTGGTGGCAGGCGCTTGTAATCCCAGCTACTTGGGAGGCTGAGGTGAGATAATCGCTTGAACCCGGGAGGTGGAGGTTGCAGTGAGCCAAGATTGGGCCATTGCACTCTAGCCTGGGTGACAAGAGTGAAATTCCATCTCAAAAAAAAGAAAAAAATTTTGCTGGATTAAAAAAGGCAAGAAAAGGGCTGGGTGTGTGACTTATGCCTGTAGTCCCAGCACTTTGAGAGGGCAAGGTGGGTGGATTACAAGGTCAGCAGTTCAAGACCAGCCTGGCCAACATGGTGAAACCCCATCTCTACTAAAAATACAAAAATTAGCTGGGTGTGGTGGCGGGCGCCTGTAATCCCAGCTGCTTAGGAGGCTGAGGCAGGAGAACTGCTTGAACCCGGGAGGCGGAGGTTGCAGTGAGCCAAGATCGCACCACTGTACTCCAGCCTGGGCAAAAGAGCAAGACTCAGTCTCAGGAAAAAAAGAAAAGAAAAGAAAAGAAAGAAAAACACAAGTAGAGGAAATTTCAAACACCAAAAACACTTTGGGATGATAGAGGGGTAAGAGGGATATATTTTTGAGTACATGAGCTTTCAGCATTCTTTAAATCATAGAAAGTGCCCAGAGGGAGACAGCACATTAACCCTCTAAACATTGGTTTCCTCATCTGTAAAATAGAGGCATTACAATTTTGTGATGGCTTTATTTTTCCACCAATCTCATCCTTTGTACTATTAGTACTTCTGCACTTATGGCTCTGCTCATCGGTTCTCTGCCATCACAACTGTATTTCTTCATTTGCAGAACTCATGGCAAAAGAGCTCATTTTGTCTCAGAAGGTACGCAGACAAAGTCAAGTAGAGTGCTAGTGATAATGAGCAGGGAAGAGGTTAGGTAAACGGCATCAACTTGTGATAGCACAGAAAGTAGAGCCAGAATGAAGATAAGAGCTATGGAGTGGCAGCACAGTTTAACACTGTCCAGTCGAAATATAATGCAAGCCACAAATTTGAGCTCAATGTAATTTTAAATTTTCTAGTAGCCACATTAATAAAAGTCAAAATAAATAGGTAAAATTAGTTTTTTTTTTGTTTTTTTTTTTGAGATAGGGTCTCACTTTGTCACCCAGGCTGGAGTATAGTGGCACAAACATGGCTCATGGCAGCCTTGAACTTCCAGGCTCAAGTGATCCTCCTGCCTCAACCTCCTGAGTAGCAGGGACTACAGGTGAGCTTTATTACACATGGCTAATTTTTAAATTCTTTGTAAAGACAGGGTTTTGCCATGTTGCCCAGGCTGGTCTTGAACTCCTGAGCTCAAGTGATCTGCCTGCCTCAGTCTCCTGAAGTGCTGGGATAAAAACGCATGAACCATCACACCTAGGCAAAATTAATCTTAATAATATATTTTACTTAACCTAGTATATGAATATTTCAACAATCAATATTTTAAAATTACTGATATTCTTTTTTAACGAAGTCTTTGAAATCCGGTGTATATTTTACATTTACAGAACATCTCAATTCACACTGGCCACATTTCAAGTACTCGAGAGCCGCATGTACCTACCGGCTACTATATTCTTCAGTGCAGGTTTAGA